ACACCCTCCTTACCCTCTTCTAACTGCCCCAACTTCACACCCCCAGCCGGGCCACGATCCTGGTGCGCCTGGACACTGGAAGCCAGGAGGCGCTGCAGTACCAGCCAGGGGACCACATTGGCATCTGCCCGCCCAACCGGCCTGGCCTTGTGGAGGCGCTGCTGAGCCGGGTGGAGGATCCACCGCCACCAGGAGAGCCAGTGGCAGTGGAGCAGCTGGAGAAGGGCAGCCCTGGTAAGGCGGAGGTCTGGGGCACTAATGACAGCCTACTCCATTCCCCCTGGCCTCAGGGTCCCCCTGAATTGAGGACCTGGTAAGAGGGCTGCCACCTCCACTCACAGATGTAATGCCTGTGCTCAGAGCCGGCTGTGCTCCCTCCCTTCAAGCTGACCTTGTTGCTGGATGGTCCACAGAGTGTGGCTCCTTCCTCAGTACCTACCCCCATTCCCTAAAAGGCTGCCCCCTCCTTCTGGGCTCCTCCCAAAGTCTCCTCCTGACAGCCTTGCCTGCTCTATAGCTCGCATCTGGTCTACCTCCTGCCCCACCAGTGCCTGGGTTTAAAAAAAGCTGGGTGGGGGAGAAGCAGAGCCCAACCAACCCAAACCAGCCAGAAGCCCCCAAACACACACAACACATCCACCACCACTGTTTAAGGGCAAGGTCTCCAATAAAACCCAAAGTGTGGTCAGTCCTGATGTATCCATCCCCCAAGCAATAACCACCTCAGACAATGCAGTTCCCTCTGGCCCCTTCCTCAGATCTCCCCTGTACACCATCACCAGGTAGCCCACCCCCCAGCTGGGTTCGGGACCCTCGCCTGCCCCCATGCACACTGCGCCAGGCTCTCACCTTCTTCCTGGACATCACTTCCCCGCCCAGCCCTCAACTCCTTCGACTGCTCAGCACCCTGGCTGAAGAGTCCAGTGAACAGCAGGAGCTTGAGAGCCTCAGCCAGGTGTGGGGGCCGTCCGTCCTAGTGGGCAGCAGGAGCTAAAGAACCTCAGACAGGTACAGGGCAGCCCCAGGGGCAGTAAGGGCTTGAGAGCCTCAGCTAAGTTCAGGGCAGCCCCAGTGGGCAGTGGGGGCTCGAGAGCCTCAGCCAGGTGCAGGGCAGCCATAGCAGGCAGCAGGAGCTCGAGGTAAGATGAGCCGGGGTTTGGGGGGGGGTCAGGGGGGGTTTCTCTGGCTAGCACATCCTGGGGTTTAAGACCCAGCTCTGGAGTCACTAATTCATGTCTGAAGAGGGAGAAGCCCTAGGAGGCTTGGCTCAAGAGGAAGGTCAGCAGGCAGGGTTGGGAGGTTCCAAGCCCGTTGCACCCTGCTTCCGCCAGGACCCCCGGCGCTATGAGGAATGGAAGTGGTTCCGCTGCCCCACACTGCTGGAGGTACTGGAACAGTTCCCATCGGTGGCACTGCCCGCCCCCCTGCTCCTCACCCAGCTGCCCCTGCTCCAGCCCCGGTACTACTCGGTCAGCTCAGCACCCAGTGCCCACCCAGGAGAGATCCACCTCACAGTAGCTGTGCTGGCATACAGGACACAGGGTGAGGTCATGTAGGGCCAGGGTCAGGGCCACACAGTGACCCTGGTTCAGGCCCCTCACTGGCACCCTCTTGTCCCCAACCCCCAGATGGACTGGGCCCCCTTCATTATGGAGTCTGCTCCACATGGCTAAGCCAACTTAAGGCCGGAGATCCTGTACCCTGCTTCATCAGGGGGTAAGTTAGTACTTCAGGGGATGGAGGTGGCATAGAGAGTGTGTGTCCAAGCAGGGGTGGGCAAAGTGCCACACGGATGACCAGGGACAGATGGAAGAATAGGCAGGTGGCTGCACAGGGTGAGGGTGAAAGCTTTGGTGAGGGGTGTGAGCGGGGGCGGGGCGGCGGGGGGGGGCACTTAACACGTATCAAGAATGGCGTATCTGGTTAAGCTACTTTAGAACTTTGACTAAGCTTTGGGCATTTCATTAATTGGACTTCGGGTCCTGTCCAAGCTTCCCCACCCAGAGACAGGGCTAGGATTCGACCAGCAGGCCCTGCTGCTTTTAGGTATACTATGTGCCTCGCTACAGCCTTGGAGTCAGTCTGATACTCAGAGGCACTGCACTTGGGAACTGTGCCCTGCCCAAGGACAAGTCCCCACTTAGTCCAGGGAGAACTAGTTAGGTTACCATAGTATCACTGAGGACTCAAACAAGGTAAAAGATCATAGGATACCCTTCCCTCATGCTGTGTTCAGAAGCCTGGCCCCATCCAGCAGCCAGGACTCAAAGCCTCAGGGTGGACTTCAAAGAGTTCCTAGGATGGGCACCAGTTAGGTCCAGTAACCCAAACCCATCTGGGAGGCTAAATCACAAACTGTACCAATCTACTGAATACAAACCAAATACCCAATATTAAGGCTAGGATTTAAAATAAACATTCAATAAACTCATTATGGACCAAAAGCTGTCCTTCCCCTTCCTGTATTTTATAAATCCCCTCAACTGAGATAGAACATTCTTTACTTCAAATCAAGTTATATTTCTTTTGACCCAACCTCCAGAAACACAGGTCCACAGAGTTTCTGCCTGCAAGTAGAGTTCTTTTAATAAACACACCATGCCCACTCTGAGCTAGACTGTATGGTGAACACCTGACAGCCCACTGACCCGCGGTAGTTGAGTTCTCCCCCCACCCTTCAGTCAAACTTGGTAAGAACGTGGGAGCTGGGAAAGCACAGGGCCCTGACTGAGCGTTTCTCCACCAGGGCTCCCTCCTTCCGGCTGCCACCTGATCCCAGTCTGCCTTGCATCCTAGTGGGTCCTGGTACGGGTATTGCCCCCTTTCGGGGTTTCTGGCAGGAGCGGCTGCACGACATTGACAGCAAAGGTGAGACTGGGGACCAAGGGAATGACTGGAAGGCAGGGGGGAGTCACACAATCTATGGGAAATGGAATGGGGCTGGAAGACAGAAAGCAGGCAGGAAAGAGGTCCACAGAGGTGAAAAGAAGCTTATTGGACCAACTGAAAGGCAGGGCCCCTTTGGTTTGGCTTCCTGGGGCCAGATCCAAAGTAGCTGTTGGGCTGGATTAAGGATAAGGGAGGGGTCAAGGGGAACTGGAAGTCTGGAGAGGATGGGGCTAGAGGATGGGGCTAAGACAGATATGCCCAGGGACGAGTGCCCAAGGAAGCTACAGGACGTTGGGGTTGGACATGGAGTGTGCAAGGCAGCTGGTAAGTCAAAAGAAGGGCTGTGACTGAAGGAAGGCAGATAGTGTGGAAGCTGAGGGTGTGGAAGACTATGGGGTTGAAGCAGGGACCGGGCCTGCTGGGAGTCCTGGAACTTCCCTCTTAGACGGTGCCAAGGGCCTGGAATTCTAAGTCAGAAGCCCCACGTTTCTCGAGCAAGTCACCACTGGTCATTCCACCCGAGGAGCCACCACCTCTTGCAAGCTGCTTTTCTATGAGCGTCTTCTCTGTAAATCGGGGTCAGGCAAGGTCTCTGGGAGAGCATCGTGCACTCTCCTGGAGGCTAGAGTGGTTCCTGCTCGAAAGTCATGGGCGGCCAGCCAGGGCGAGGTTAGCCAGAGGGAGATGTGGCTATGGCTGCGGCCCGGGGAGGGGGCTCTTCCAAGCCGCAGTGCTGCTTGCAGGGCTGCAGCCCGCCCCCATGACTCTGGTGTTCGGCTGCCGATGCTCCCAGCTCGACCACCTTTACCGCGACGAGGTGCAGGATGCCCAGCAGCGCGGAGTTTTTGGGCGCGTCCTCACCGCCTTCTCCCGGGAGCCCGACCGCCCTAAGGTGAGACACCCTGAGGGCGCGGGAGTAACCTGAAACCGGGCTCCCGGGAAGGGCCGCGGGGCGCTCCAGAGGGGCGCGTAGGCCCACGTCCCGCCCAGCCCGGTGCAGGGCGCACCCCCGCCCCGCCCCTCAGGTCCCACCCCGCGGCACCCAGGCAGCCCCTCCCGCGCCGGGGCGCGGTCTCCCTCACCTTCACCCTAGCCCCGCCCCGCGTCTGGCTCCTCCTCTCTCCACCCCAACACCGAGCACTGGGGGCGCCGCCCAGCGGGAAAACTGTTCGCACCCAGGGCCGGACTCTCCCCTCAGGAGCCCCCCCGCCCCCGCCCCCGCCAACGCCTAGGGCACGCCCCTAACCCCGGCTTCCCTCAGACGTACGTGCAGGACATCCTGCGGACGGAGCTGGCTGCTGAGGTGCACCGCGTGCTGTGCCTCGAGCGGGGCCACATGTTTGTGTGCGGCGACGTCACCATGGCAACCAGCGTCCTGCAGACGGTGCAGCGAATCCTGGCGACGGAGGGCGACATGGAGCTGGACGAGGCCGGCGACGTCATCGGCGTGCTGCGGGTGCGAGGGGCGGGGCCGTGCGGGGGCGGGGCCCACCCGCCCGCGGGGCCCGCGCGCTCTGAGCCGCTGCACTCTCCCCGCAGGATCAGCAACGCTATCACGAGGACATTTTCGGGCTCACACTGCGCACGCAGGAGGTGACAAGCCGCATCCGCACCCAGAGCTTCTCCTTGCAGGAGCGGCATCTGCGGGGCGCGGTGCCCTGGGCGTTCGACCCGCCCGGCCCAGACACCGCCGGCCCCTGAGAGCGCTCGTTTTCCATCCCAGTTCCAAGAGAGGGGCCGTCAGTCCACTCTGGCTCTGCCCCTCTCCTGGGGGCGTTACCAGCCACTTGTCCCCTCCCGGGGTGCCTTCCCCGTCTCTGTCCAGAGTCTTCCCTAAGTCGCCTTCTTCCCGGAATGAGTGAAATGTCCTTCCTTGCCCCGGGTCCCGACGCCCCCTGGAGCAGTGGTATTCCAGGGCCTACTGTCACCCCTTTTGTGTTCCTTAGGTGAATTTTAGATTCCCTTTACCTCTCAGCAGGGTCTTATCTCGAAACCTAATCTCTAAATCGTTCAAGTATTTATTATTGAAGATTCACCATAAGAGACTGGACCAGATGTTATGAGAGCTACTAAGATGCCTAACCCAGCCCCATCGATTAAAACTACAGAACAACAAGCTTTGTCTTTTAATTCGTGCAGATGATGGTCATGGTAATTCTGACAGGGAGCCCTACCCTACATACTCTACTCTGACCCAGTGCTCTAGAAATGTGGTTTCCAGCCAAGCACAGACAGTTCTGTGTTGCTTCCTCGCTCTTGATTGAGAAGCAGGTACATCCCTCAGCTGTCAGGAGTGGGAATGCCAGAGGCTACGGTCACGGTGATGTGCGACACAGCCATGAGCAACAACTTTTACTGCGTGTTTCAGACAGGATGAGGAGCCACACCCACTTCCTCAGACGTCACAGCACTGCCAAACTCCAAAAACATCAGCCCTCTGTAGTCTTTCCACTTACAAGTCCCCATGGCCCCCTTCCACAAGTCCCATGGGACCCTAAAGGTCAGGCCAGCTTGAAGAGCCCACTGCCATTCAGGTCCCGTCCCTCATTGTTTCCCTTACATATAGCTAGACCTCCGCCTTGGCACTGTCCTCTGCCCTGAGGACACCTGGGGATTGCTTCCCTGGCAATCAACAGCAAGAACAGCTGGTTGGGGTGGTGTCCCCTTAGCCTTCCAGATGGGGATCATCTCTAAGACTTGTTTCCAGATCTTTTGGCATCGCCTCTCCTACCCTTTCTGTGCTCTCTGGGGTGAGCTCATCACTGACCTCCCCCAAGTCCTTCCCAACTAAAGGGTCCTTAGGCCTCCAGTCTGTGGGGGTCTCTAAAGAGGGCTCGGCGTCATGTCCTTCCACTCCACCTTGTCTGATCTCCTATAGCTGGAGAAGCCAGGAAACCTGGAGGAGGAGGAGACTCTTGGCAAACATTCCAGGGGTTTAGTTTCCAAAGATGACCTCCCCATCACCCTGAATTCCCACCACTGCCCTCATCCCTCCAGGTCTGGCTCCATCCAATTTTCTATTCATTCTTCAGCTTCCCCCTACCCCCTTCCGTTAGACATTACTGACCCTGAGGAGCCCTCTCAGTCAGTGCCAGGGGCCTGGCCAGGCTCCTTCTGGGTGTCTGTGGTCTCCTGAAACCTTCCAGGGAGCAAATTCTCAGTCCTCTGGGTTCTCCACTGCTGTCTGGGGCTGGAGGCAGGACTGGAGCCTGGTGAGAAAAGCCATCAGCTGGCCAGTACAGTGATGCCCACTGTCCACCCAGGGTCCACCCCGTATGCCCTGACCACCTCACCATCACTTGACCAGGATGGCTTCTCCTCATCTGGTGAGAGTGTCTGGGAGGGGCTGGACCAGGGTCTGGACAAGGAAGAGGCTGAAGCCTCACCCCACAGTTCCTGCTGTTGCTGTTGATGGAGCTGAATGGAAAAAAGAGGAATGATGAGCTCCCTCATGCCCCACAGTGTAAAACCCAGTCCCTGGACTGGGTGCCAAGGCTTTTCGGACCTCCTCTTCCAGCTCCTGTGGAGTATTTCCTTATACTCTATGCCCCCTCCCATCTCCATTTCATTCAGCTACTTTCTCCCCACATTTCTCTTTCTGGCACCCCTCTGCTCACCTGGTGCAGGTAAATGGCATGAAGACTCATCTCAGCAGAAGCAAGCTCTGGAAGCTGGGCCAGCTTCTGGCCCCCAGTGCCTCCTGGAGACACACAGCTGGAAGGGAGAGCACAGTACACCAAAGATGTGCCCCTCCCCCTTGCACCCCACAGAGAGGGCCAGACTCATCTCCCCTTCCCAGGGACCACCAGGGCTCCTGAATATTCCTCCCAGAGGACCAGTCCCCCTAATCCTGCTGCCCTGCCTCTCAGCCCCTCCACCCCTCACCTCGGGTCCTGGGCAAGGCGGGAAATGGAGGCCAGGAGGCTGGCTGTGGCAGCAGCTGGGCAGGGTGCTGTGGGGCTCAGGTCCCGTGGGGGCAGGAGGGGCTGCACCAAGAGGTTGGCCAAGAAGGCCTCAGGCTGGGAACAAGAGAAGATGGTGTCAGGAAAGAGGACAGAAGGGGAGGGAGGAGGTCCAGGAAAGGCCTGAGAACAAGCTGGACCAGGGAGCAGGTCAATAGGAACAGTGAGAAGGACAGGAGTAAGGGGGGCAGGGGAGAAGGGCAGGCCAGGCTGCAACTTACCAGAGGTGAGGAAGAATCGCTGAGCACCCCAGGGGTGGGGGGGCTACGAACAGAGGTGGCACCCCAGGCCGCTGCATCTTGTTGTACCCTGCCCCGAAGTTGCCCCAGGAACTTGGAACTGTGCCCTGGGGGGCGCCATTGTGGATGTACCAGGGAGAACCTCATCAAGGAGAGCTCAGTCTTTCCATCCTCTGCGCGCTGAGACTGGGAGGCCTCTGTCTGTCCTGCCGAGAGCCACTGCGAATGGGAACAGTCGTTCAGATGCTGTAGGCACTGCTTTTGCAGCTTTAGTGGGAACCTTGTGGGGGTAGGCAGGACAGAACCCTGGCCCGGTTTTCCAGGTCAAAGCACAGAGGGGGACTTGCTCAAGATCACCCAAAAATACAGCAGCAAAGCAGGACCCAGGTCTCGAGCCAGCACTAGGGCAGGGCGGGGGCTTAATGTTTTGCCAAGTTGTGCACATGGGAGCCCAGGGCTGGCCTGACCGCCTTCCTCCAGCTCCTGACCAGCTCAGATCTCCGCCTCTCCGGCAGTCTTTCCTCCCACTTGCTGGAGTTACAATGTGCCGGGACCTGTTAGGGCTCTACACACACCATCTCCTGTAATCCTCACAGCCCTGCGCATTGGCTACAGTTAGTGTCCTCATCTGACAGATAAGGACTCTAAACTGTGGGGAAGTGAAGTGATTGGTTCAGGGTCATAGGTGGCAAGCAATGGAGCTTGGGGTGGAAGTCAGCTCTGCTTTGAGAGAGGCAAGTAAAGCCCTACCCAAGCACAAAACCCACAAAGCCAGGGACAGGCTCTAACCTGAGGGTGGCCGTGGCGCTTCACATCCATGAGGGCAAAGGAACAGATGTCCCCAACGCCAGCCACATCCACAGTGAAGTGATGAAAAAAGTCAATGATCTCCAGGGAACGCGGGCAGAACCAGAAGAGGAGAAACAGCGGAGTGAGGAGGGGAGACAGGAGCTCCTCCAGGAGGGAGACCTGGGGAGGCAAGGAGAGGCGGAGAAGGGGTTCTTGAAGCCCCCCCCCCCCCCCGCGCGCTCGCCACCAGAACCTCGAGGTCCCCAGGGACGTTCGCAGGTGCCGCAAACCTCTAAGCCCATCACTTGCGGGCTCCCGGGATGACCAGCCCCGAGCCGAGTCCCCGTTTGTCCCAAGCCTTCTCCCGGGCGCCTGGGGCGCCTGGGGTCGGGTATCCCCGCAGCCCCCCTTCGGGCCGGACCTCACCGCCCGGTACTGCAACAGCCGCGCCATCTGCCGGTAAGCGCTGGCCCTGCCGGCAGGGCCGGGCTCCTCGGGGAGGTAGTGCATGTGCGCCAAAGCCGCCTGCAGCAGTAACTGCGGGGAACGACCCCCGCCCTGCTCTTCCGGAATGAAAGACCTGGAGGGCAGGATGAGGGTGGAGAAGGGGCCTGCGGTTAGGAGGGGAGGGCGGATGGGCTGCAGGGCGCGGGAGAGGAGGTCGCTGAACCGCGGGAGGGGAAGGGATACGCGGGAGCCGGGCCCCAGGTCAGAGGAACGGCCCTCTCCCCCTCCTGTCCGGGCAGCTCCCCAGCACCTGGCCACGGTGGCCGTGACCCCGAGCGCGGTCATGGCGGTGAGCACGTGCTCCACAGCCAGCACATCCTCGTCGTAGACGGTGAGCACCAGCAGCGCGGCGAAGAGCGCGCCGGCGAAGAAGACGAGCTGGCGGGCCAGCAGCGCGAGCAGGGGCGCGGGGGGCGCGGCGGCGCGCAGGAAGGCGGCAGCCGGGCGGTAGGCGCGGGCCAGGCGCGCCCGCAGCTCGTGCGGCAGCTCGTTGAAGTGGCGCAGCTGCAGGTGGGCCAGGCGGGACCAGCGGCGCGCCCCCAGCGCCCCCGGCTCGCGCCGCAGCAGCTCGGCGTGGCTGTAGAAGGCGTGCAGCACCTGCCAGGCCAGCACCAGCGGGCTCAGCGCCAGGTTCATGGCGGCCAGCAGCAGCACCGTGCGCCGCCAGCGCGCCGCCAGGGCGCCCCGCTGGTCGCTGCGCTTGTAGGCGTCGGGCAGCTCCCAGCCCCCGCGGAAGAGCGAGAAGGGCCCGCGGAAGAGAAGCAGGTCGACGTTGAGCGCCAGGCCGCGGCTGAGGAAAGCTGCGCTGCCTCCCCAGGGCAGCGCGCAGCGGGCCGGCAGCAGGCCCTTGTTGGCCAGCGCCACCTTGTAGTTAGTGTAGCGCAGGATGCGGTGGTGGACGTCGAGCTCGGTGAGCGGCCGCGGCTGCACGCACAATCCCCCGCCCTTCTGCAGCGCCAGCAGGCGGGACTGCACCTCGGCCCAGGGCACCGAGCTGAGCTCCTCCTGTGGAGAGGGCACTGGTGAGCGCAGCACGCTGGACTCCTCCACAGCGCGGTGATGCCCAAACTCACCTTGACCAGAACTGCGGCCTTCATTTGCCCTGTCCCCACCTCAGCCTGCCGGTGTCCTGCAGGGCTTGAAACCTGCCACCTTTCCCTTTCTGCCCTCTCTTGCCCTCCGCTGACCCTGTCACTAGCAATCAAGCTACTTCTTACTTCCTTTCATCCTCTTCTCAATTGCGATCCTCAATCCTCATGCCCCTGCCTCTGCTGAGGCCATGAGTCATGTGCTTCCCGGTGACACTTCATTTCACTTCTTCAGGTATCTGATCTCTGCTCCTGAAGAGCAGATTTCCTGTACCCTCCCCTTCCTCCCCAAAGGTCTTCACAGAGGGCACAGGACTGCCGCAGGGAATGCGCACTCTCTCACCTTCCTGGTCCCTAGGGTGTCAGCCAACACAGGACCCAAAGCCTCCTTGTCTCAGCATGCTTTGGGACCCCTCCCTCCATCCCCCCTCCCGCTCCACCACCAGATCAACCTGCCTAAGACACTGGCTGTGTCTGGGTGGGATGTCAGATCTCACTGGGGTCTCATCTGCAAACCTCATGTTAGCCCAGTTTCACCCAGCTGCCCCAGTCCGGCTTAGTCAAGTCCCTCCAGGCCAGCCTCTCCAGTCCATCCCAGGTTCTCCCCTTCCCCTGGAAGGAATGGGGGAGGAGGAGAAAGAAGGGAGGAGGAGGAAGAGAAGGGTCAGCAGCCTCCTGGAGGAGCAGTGGTCTCACTCCTGTACTCCCCCACCTGGGCTCCCAGGGCCCTCTCCATCCTCCCTGCACTCCGCCTGCACTCCCCTACCCAAGGGGGCTTTCTGAAGCCTCTGCCCTTGGCTGTGCAGGAGAGCTGTGTGGAAGCTTCCACACTTCTGAGGGGAGCAAGGGAAGCCAAGCCGGCTGCAGAAAGTAGCCTTTGAGTTGGGCCTATAAGAACGAACTTGGGAACAAAGCAAGAAGGAGCACAGACATGATGGGGAGGAAAGAAAGGGCAAAGCATGAACGGGGGCAGGGAAGGACACACACAGTGGCTTTACTGCAATAGGGAGTGAGGCCAGGGAGGGTGGTGGGATCACCCGGTGGGGCCTGACCACTCACTTGTAGGCTGGCAGGTCTGTCTCCTCTCCTCACTGCCATCCACTTCCTGCCTTCCCATCTCCTATCTTTCCCAGCCCCACCCAAATTCCTCCTGTCCTGTAAAGCCAGAGGGTCACCCTTCCTCTAAATACCTACTGTTTTGACCACAAGCATGTGACAATAAGTCATCTTCTATAATCGAACTAAATCAACAAAATTCCTTGAGGGTCAGGACCATGGTTTTCTAAGTGGTGGCACCCCACCTCCTAACATTACTCAGAGCCTGGCCAGGTATCAATGAGGCCTTCTGCCTGCATTCCACTGGGTCCTTCTGTCTGCACAGCTCCCCACTCCTCTATCCTCTGTCCCTCCCCCCGCCTGCCCAACACAGCGCCCATCCACAGCCAGGCGCACCCAGCTCACCGGGGGGATGTGCAGGGCCTCCCTGTAAAACACCTGGATGTCCCAGTAGCTGAAGAGGTTGCAAACTGAGCGAAGCAGCTGTAACAGCCAGAAGGCTGCAGCCAGGATCAGCAGGAAGACCAGCAGGGCGCTGGAACGGATCCTGTGTGTAGATGGGACAGAGAGCATCGAGAAAGTGGGGGCCCCAATAGAAAGGAAGACCAGACTTGGGGAGAGATGGAAAAGTTAGAGAGAGGGGGACCCCGCTGAACCAGCGGCTCTCAGACTATTCACCCCGGGAGTCCTTGAGGGCCTCACAGACCCTTGTGTCTCACAAGTGTCTGTGAGGCCACACTTTTTTCAGGTAGCACTAAGGCTTCCTGCTGTTTTCATGCTCATTCTCTCATGAGCAGACAATGGACTTTTCTAGAGGCTAGAATGTGTGTGTGACATCACATCAGCAGCCAATGGAATGTATGCTTCTGCATTCTTAGGTTTTAAAGTTATTCTCAGCTTTAATCTCTAAGAAGGTAGACATAGATAGGTAGAGATAATTCTCATAAACAAAAGCTCTTGGGTGTTCCTGATCAAGTTTAAGTGTATTAAAGGTGTCCTGAGAACAAAAGCTTGGAGAACTGCTGATTCAGACCAAGGGTACAAATGGACAGGGTGGGTGGGTTCTTGTCCGCTCATGTCCCCCACTCCTTCCCCCCAGCTGGCTATCACTCACCGCTGGGCACACTGGGAGGAGGATAGTATGGCATCTGCCAAGGTTACTTTGCTGTGGAGCAACCCAGGTCTCGTCCGGTTGTTTGGTTGTTTGGCGAAGAGGATGTTGTAATCCACGCATCGAAGGAGGAAGGTTGTGAAGGTAACAATGAAGACGAATTGTCTAGGAGACAGGGAGTGTAGTGATCAGCCTCCAGTCAGTCCTGGGTGTCCTCCCCACCCTGCTGAGCCCTGGGCTGCTGGCAGGGTGGGGAGTGGCTATGCTGGTGGACTAGAGGCAGCAGGCACTACTGAGGAAACAAGATGACAGGGTCTGGGGCTTGGGACAAGCATCTCACCCCAACTGGAAGACATCCTCCAGCAGGATGCAGGCAAAGCCATTCCTCTGGTGGTAGCTATAGATGTGACAGCGTGTCAAGAAATAAGCCTGAGGCATGATGTGCCTTTCTTGAGGACACCTCTCCCTCTCCCTCATTCCCTTGCACCCTCAGAGCCTCCCTGCCAAGAACAGCACCAGCCCCAAAGGGTCCCCCCATGCCACTGCTGCCAGGCCAAGCACAAAGGATATCTTGGTGAAGAAGCTGTCCAGGTTCTGGATGTGGTGCCAGGAGCCTGGGTACAGAGAGGAGACTCTTGGGACTTGGCTGTCACCTGAATGACCAGTTCACACCCTCAGGAGCCACCATCCCCCAGCCTCCCTCAATGCACTGCCCTCACAGCCCCATACCCACACTCACCTCGAAGCCCTTCAGGCACATGGAGCAGGGGCTGCTGCTCCTCCCCATGGAGGGGTGAATCTTGGGACCCCTCAGGGTCACAGTCTTCCAGGCGCTCATAATCCTGCTCAGGGATCAGAGGGCCTATCCGCAGCCCAGGAGGGTCCTGGGGGCATCGGCGTGAGGGAGGGGGAGTCACTGAGGCCAGGGGTGGGGTGGATTGGGAGCCCCAAGAGGGGGGGGCAGAGATGGGTGTCGTTGCAGGCTGTGCCTGTGTTGTCCGGGTGGGGAGGGCGCTGTGGCAAGGCTGAGAGGTCCCTGGGGCCTGCATCGCTGGGCAGGGTGGTCCCAGGGCCAGAGGGGAAGGGGAGCTTCTTGTGTGGGGGGCAGGGGACAGAGAGAAGATGGAAATCCTCCCTCTGCCAAGCCCCCGACAAGGAGGAGGAGGAAGAGGAGGCAGGGATATGGGGAGGAGAGGCACGGAACCTGGCCCCAGGTCTCCCCACCGCCCCGGCCGCCCTCTCCTCCCCCCCCAGCCCACTCGCCTCACCATCAGGCAGTAGCTTCTCTGGAAATGCTTGGAAGGATGGGAGCTGCTGCTTCCACAGAACTCTGGGGTGCTAAGCAGAGACTTCAACAAGAATAGTGACAACAACAACAACGTGGTGACTCAGTTAGGGCAGGCCTCAGGCGTCCCAGCTCTCAGTCACCTGTCTGACCACTCACACCCCTTCCAGGGGAATCTGTGGCCAAACCTCTTCAAGGTCTAGCCTCTTTCCCCAGGAGGGGCAGGGGCTGAGGAACATACAGACCAGAGACACCTATTGTCCCATCCTCAGACCTTGAGTAGGTTTAAAGGGGGAGGCCAGAGAGTAGCAGTCAAAATAACAAAGCAAAAAGAAACTCCTACCAAAGGATTATAAGACTATGATGTTAAATCTTTGATTACTTAAAATCTTGTCTCCCCTCCCCTTACACACACACACACACACACACACACATGCATGCACGCACCAGTGATGAACAGAAACATGCTTTAAGACCAAAAGCAAAAAGAGGAAAAAGAAAAGAATGGGCTGGTGTTCTGTTTGCCTGATGGTGCTAAGGAAAGAGGGCGACTTCCCGCCTTTGAGGGCAGGTTGGAGTAAATCTGAAGAAGGGAAGGCAGTGGAGAAAGGAGAGGCAGCTAACCTGGATGTGAGAAGTGGTTTGGGAGCTTACAGTAGAAAGAGGCCCCCTTGGAAGTTCCATTATTTTTCTTCTTTGTCCCCTTAAATGCTGAAAACCCTCTTGCCTAGTCCTGATCCAACTTTGGGGGCCCCCTGAGAAGCATCAGAGCTGAACCAGTGGAGGGCAGCTGGGGGTCCAAGATTTGGAAGGGTAATTTGAATACCCCAGGATGAGCTGGCTGAGTTGAGTTCCTTGCTGCTGCCTCAATGAAGAGGAGGAGGCAGCTGCTTTGTTGGCATGTCCGACGCCATTCCTGAGGCCCTGAATCACCCGGTTTCCTACTGAACCCCATTCCTGAGGTGCTGACTCAGCCACCCAGGTGTCAGGGCCTCCAGGGCTGAGGCCTGAGGGCTGTTGTAGGGGCCAGTATCCAGGAAGTAGGGAGAGGAACACAGTGCTTCCCAGAGTGTTCATTGGAGGAATGTGGAGGCAATTGTGGAGTTGCCCACAAAACGTGAGTCCAGATACGCCTGTTTTTCTCCTTCCGTGCTGCCTTCTGGGGACAGGGATTGTTATAGTAGCTTGGGGCTTGCATAGTTTTATCCCTGAGCAACAGGGGGCAGAGCTATGAAAACAGAGACTCACTCCTAGAGGTGGCATCCTAGTGCAGGAGATGGAATCCCCCATTGCAGAGGGTCTAGGGGATGCCCATTTCTTTGAGACATCTGCCAAGGTGGGTTATGTAGGTTTTGCCTGACCTCCCCTCCACCTCACTCACCCCAATATTCCACCATGCTCACATGAGGACCCCCTCCCATACTCCCAGCCCAGCTTCAAGCTAATCTGGCATATTTTCCTACCCAGTTCTACCCCGGATTCATCAGTTGACAGCCTCCCTATAACCATCCCAATTCAAGTCAGTTCATTATAAAGAGCACTTTTCTCTGCCAGGCATTTGGAGGGGAAGTGGGGTATGGATGAATGAGAGGGAGCCACTGCCCAGAAGGAAGTCACAGCCCATGGGGGAGGTAGCTATGCAAATAACTACACAGAAGAAATAAATAAGTACTCCACGGAGGTGCAAGAGGAGTGCGGTGGGTGCCTTAGGCAAGTCACCTTGGCTGCGGTGAGGAAGGCATCTGCGGGGAAGGGTCTGGGGTGGCACTTTACAAGACGTCTCCACGCCAGTGGTTCTCAATCCTCTTGTTGTTGTTGTTAATTTTATTTATTTATTCAGGAGAGACACACAGAGAGAGGCAGAGACACAGGCAGAGGGAGAAGCAGGCTCCACGCAGGGACTCGATCCCGGGACCCAGAGATCAGGCCCTGAGCCAAAGGCACGCTCAACCACTGAGCCACCCAGGGGCCCCGTTCCCAATCCTTAAGGAGGGGAAGTGTGTCAGAATCACCAGGGTAGTTGTTTCCCAAATACACGTGGCTGCTGTCCCTGGAACTCTGACCTGCCTGGGAGAAAGGGGCGGGTGACAAGGCATGTTTCAAAAAAATTCCCCGGGAACATGTTTGCCCCTTCCTCCTGTAGGACCAGCACTCTTCACTCCTTAGACATTTCGGGACATCTAGAGTCCGCCGGGAGCACCCATGGGAGAACAGCCCCGAGGTCAGCGGCTGGCGCGTTACCATGGATACCCCGCGGTGGATGGACACAGCAGGAACACAGCGGCGGTGTCACCCCAGAGCTGACCCCAGTCAGAGGGCGGAAGGCACTGCCCCACCTGCTCGGCCCCGCCCAGGCCTGGGGGCGGGCGGGCAGGCGGCTTCTCCAATCACAGTTCCGGAAGGAGGAAGATCGTGAAAGTCTTCTCCAATCACAGCCCTTGACAAGATTGATGCGTCTTTCCGCCAATCGTCGCCGAGGGGCGAGGGTGTTGTCGGGATGCGGGCCGGAGCCAACATGGAGCCCTCAATGGGATGAGGGTGAAGCTGCAGCGGTTGGCTGCTCCTGTACTCACGTTCCATCATGTTGGTGCATTTATTTCGGGTCGGGATTCGGGGTGGCCCTGTCCCAGGCAGGTTGCTACCACCCCTCTGCTTCCAGACATTCTCGGCCGTCAGGTAAAAAATGAGAAATAATCTCCTGGGAGCGCGGGCCGTTGACCGGCTGGCCGTACATGGGGCCTGCCGGGAGATGGAGTCCCGGGCTCGTCCGAGGCCTGCTGGAAGTTGTAGGCCGGCCCAGGGGTGGGGGTGGGGGGTGAAATGTCACTCCCCAGAGCTTGGCCTCAATTATTTATGGAGAGGACCCAGGTGCCAGCAGGAGACTCGGCCCGTGGGTATCGGTGTGTGGGATGGCGGAGGGCACGCTCTAGGTCGGTGACCACACCGCGTCCGTTCTTCCCACTAGAGGGCGCCGTGCTGTACAGGTGTGAGCCTTGGGATCGCCGCGGATCCTGCCCCCATTCTGTGCTCGTTCTTGGAATTGGTCTGGCAATTTGGGCAAAAGTTATCAGTGTCCAGAGACATTTAATATTGGTGTTGCTCCCGAGAGTCAATGTGAGCTAAACAAAAATGGTTCCTGGATGTGGATACTTTTCAGCAAAGATAAAGTCAATCTAGAAATGCGTGTGTGTGTGTGTGTGTGTGTGTGTGTGTGTGTTTGTGTGTTCACTATACACCTGTCAGCTCAGAGAGAGAGAGAGACAGGTAGGAAAGGAACATCGACCCTGAGACTGCTACTCCACTGGAGTGAATAACCTGTGGGCCAGCCAGGCAGCCTACTGGCAGTGGTGGGCAGAGTGGACTTGTGACATTTGGAAAGCCCATCCGACTGAGAGAGGGCAAGAGCTGGGCCAAGCTGGAGCTAAGAAGTACTGTTGCTGGGAAGTAATCTGCCAGTTCTTGGCAATGACCAAGCTCTGCTTAGAGTCTTAGTTTGGAGAAGATGATAGAAGCTGGAAAGTAGCCATGGTGAATTATTAAAAAGTTTGAAAACAGTCCTTAGGAAGAGAATAAGGGTATTGATATCATTTAAACCAGAGAGAAACCCAAGAAAAGAAATAAAATAATATCCAAGTTTTTGTGTATTCACAAGTGCAGTGTCTTTCAAATGTGCAAGTCACAACAAGAGATCATAAAATGAGTTTAGTGAGTCAGGATCATTTAGAAGTGAATATAATAGGGGGTGCCTCTTGAGCCTGTGACTTGATCTCAGGGTCATGAGTTCAAGCCACAGGTTGGGTGTGGAGCCTACCTTAAAAAAAATAGTAAATATAATAAAATACACGTGTAACAAATTAGGGGAAGTATTGTTTTGTGAAGCATTTCAATTTTGTGTGACGCATTTTTCCTACTGGGTGGCAATGTACAGCATATTTCTTATTGTTGGCCTCAATAAGTCCGAAACTTTGCAAACAGTGCAATAACAGATCAGGTCAAATTTTTCTCTTCCTCATTTTTTTTTATTTTTTTATTTTTTTTTCTTCCTCATTTCTAATGAGGGCACGCAGTCAACAAACATAAGCATTTACTGAACACTTACCATGTATAAGAGCTCTGCTAAGTGCTAGGGATGCAATGTGAATAAGATAGAGCTTTCTGCCCTCAAGAATGTAAAGCCTAATGGAAAAATTGGAAGGAGGGTGAGCTTCTCTGTCTAAAATTTAAGATAGTGACACCTAGATGGCTCAGTCGGTTAAGCATCTGCCTTTGCCTCAGGTTATGATCCCAGGGTTCTGGGATTGAGCCCCACATCGCGCTACCTGCTCAGCGGGAGTCTGCTTCGCCCTCTGCCCCTTACTCTGCTCATGCTCTCTCTCTTCCTTTCTCTGTGCCTCTCAGATAAATAAAAAATTTTTTTTAAAAAGTGTCTAAGAATACAAGACTATCAGAGTAAAGGAAAAACCTCATCCTATTTGTTTTTTTAAAAAGCCCCTGTCCATCAGTAATGCCATTTAAATTTTTTTTTTCCAAAGGGAGTATTTTTCTTTACGATTGATTTATTTAAGAGAGAGCACGCACATATGCATGTGAGTTGGGGGGTAGGGCAGAGAGAGAAAGAGAGAATCCTCAAGCAGACTCACCACAGAACTCAGAGCCCAAAGCTAGGCTCAATCCCAGGACCCTGAGATCATGACCTGAGGTGAAACCAAGAGTCAGCTGTTTTTCTTTTTAGAGATTTTATTTATTTATTCATGAGCGACACACAGAGAGACATAGGCAGAGGGAGAAGCAGGCTCCATGCAGGGAGCCCGATGTGGGACTCCATCCCGTCACGGCCTAAGCTGAAAACAGACACTTAACCGCTGAGCCACCCAGGCGTCCAAAGGGTCAGCTGCTTGACTGACTGAGCCACCCCGGCGCCCCAACCTCATTTGAGTCTTTGAGCAATCCCACCATATACTCTTAGCCAGATAACTTCTGCTTCTAACAGGCTTCCCGTAGCCCGTCTTGCTCCCCTCCAGCCCTCTCCTCTCCACTATGATCTTCGAGATGTAAATTTGATTATGTCATACCCCAGCCTAAACCGCCCACCATAGGTCCTCGTCACCCTCTAAAGTCCAGATGGAAACCGCAGAACACAGAAGGTGATTTGGGCATAGCGTATCAGAGCTGAAGAGAAACATTATTTGGATTGTTATTTCTTTTTTGTCCCGTTGTCACATAAGCACCCAAGGCCTGGGAGGAGCCAGGTGAGGGGATGCAATGAGCCCTGACCAGTGGTCAGAAGCCTTGGGGCCAGGCCAGGCCCTGCCACACACAGCCTTGGGCACATCACATGGGGCCACGTGGAGCAAGCCTGGGTTCTAGAATCACACAGCAGGTTCTCTTATCTAAGTTCTGCTGCTTGGGGACAGGTTTTCTCACCTCTCCCAGCCCCCATGACACTTCTCTTAGCAAGTGAGAGTAACAGAACACATCTGCCCCCGGGGGTGGAGGGTAGAGGCCAGAGGCACCAGGTCTCACCTACTTGGTGAGACCCCTGCAGGCTCACTCCCTCTCCTGCTGCTCTGACTGGACTCCCTCGAGACTTCTGCGTCCTCATCTATAAAAGGAGGCCTGTGGACTAGCTGCCGTCCAGTACGCTGTCCTGTGATGAGAAAGGGTGTGGATTGGAGATGGTCGCTGACCTGTTGTGGCTGAGAAGGCCTAGTTGTGTGACCACACACACCTCTCTGACTTGACTACAGGCCATTGTCTTACTCCTGGGCCACTCGGCCTATATGCGTTCCTCTTAGAAACTGAGGTTGCTGAAGAGCAGCCCTGGGAAAGGCGGTGCAGAACCCCGTGCAAGAGGGAGTGCTGTCTGGAGGGCTCAGCCCACAGCTGGGCTGCTCTGAGGAATAGTCGGGGCCTCGAGCCATTGATGCCATTCTCTCCCCTCAGGTCCTCCAACGGCCACCATGCCTCCTACCTCCTCAGGGCTGTGGCCCAGCTGAGGTCCCAGCTCCGGGCCCACCTCCCTCAAGCACGCCCAGCCCCCAGCCAAAGACCCTGTGCCTGGCGCTGGCTTGGGGGCATCCTTCTAGGCCCTGTGGTCTGGACTAAGTGCCCCCGCCTCGGCCTCGTGGCGTTGTGTGAGGCTGAGGAGGCCCCTCCTACCTACTCCAGACCTTATGTTGGGGAGTCTCGCTTTAACTGGAAGCTCTTCTGGCAGTTTCTGCGGCCCCACCTGCTGGTTCTGGGGGTAGCCATCGTGGTGAGTTGCCCCTCTCCATGCCTCCACGTCAGGGACAGGGAAGGAGCCAGTCAGGGGTTTGTGAGTACCACCCAGAGCTGCATGGGGACAGCATGTCTGCCTCACCAAATCTCAAAGTAGACCTCAGGAAGCAGCAAGGGCTAGCTGGCTTGGGGAACTGGAAGCCAAGGGATACCAGGAGATCCTGCATGGAACAGCTGGGTGTGCAGGGTCCAGGGGTCCCCAGGGGCTGGCAGCCTGGGCTTTAACTCAGCTGTCTCAGAGAAGCACAGAAGTAGCCAAAGCATGAACAGCTGTGGGGAGGGAGGGCTGAGGTCAGGGCCAGGGATGGGAAGGAATGTGGCTCCTTCTAAATGCCTGCTTTGCCACCCCTTGCCAAGCTGGCGCTGGGTGCAGCACTGGTGAATGTGCAGATCCCCCTGCTTCTGGGCCAGCTGGTGGAGATCGTGGCCAAGTACACGAGGGACCATGTGGGTAGCTTCCTGACGGAGTCCCGGAACCTCAGCACCCACCTGCTCATCCTCTATGGTGTCCAGGTACAGCAGGAGGGAGGGCCTGGGGGCACCCAGAGGAGCCGCCCAGGCGCCCCTGAGTGCCCCGGCCTCTCTCCCAGGGGCTGTTGACCTTCGGGTACCTGGTATTGCTATCCCGCATTGGCGAGCGCATGGCCGTGGACATGCGGAGGGCCCTCTTCAGCAACCTGCTCCGGTACTGCCAGCTACAGGGTATGGGTAGGAGTGGCTGATGGTCCAGGTGGCGGGCAGGGGGCTCATCCTGAACTCACGTCTCCCTCTTCTCCCTTACGTCCTGCACCCTTGACCTACCATCAGGCAAGATATTGCGTTCTTTGATGCTAAAAAGACAGGGCAGCTGGTGAGCCGGTTGACAACCGATGTGCAGGAGTTTAAATCATCTTTCAAACTTGTCATCTCCCAGGTCAGTTCCCCCGGTTCCCCTGTGTGTACACACTCACACATGCAGATGCACACCCATACACACACACTGTCTAGTGTAGACACAGCAGGCCAGCCCCATCCCACCTTGCTGTTGCACCCTGAGCCTAGGCTCACACCAAGTGAGAAGCCTGCTGTCTGGCAAGGGTGTGGGTGAGGGAATGGGGAAGTTCACAGAAGGGAGGTACTGTGGCATCATCCAAGGTCAGTACGGGCTGTTTCTCTCCTGTTCTGAAATTCTACCTCCCCAGAAAAACCTTCTCAAGGACTCTGTCAAGAGCCTTTCCTGGACCAGCTTGCCAAGAGCAAAATCATCCCGGACTGCCTTGCCCCCAGAATACTTGGCATGCTGACAAGTGTGAGGAGGAGTGAAGGCTTTTTACTGTATTACTGGTGTCCCATCCTCATCCACCCACACTGTCACCGTGGCTGTTGGGTCATGCCAGACTGGCCCACAGCTATTCTGTGTGACATCCATATTCTATTCTTTTAGTTCAGTTCCTCGAGCAAAACACCAGAACAAACTGGGATTTGTCTAGGGAAGGATGCTGTGGTCCATAGACATTCTCACCCAGCCCTTTCATGCCCGCTAGTAGAGAGGGGGCTACGTTTAATGACGAGGTGGACTGCCATGTGGCCTCCCAGAGCCCAGACCTATGGCCTTGGCCTTGTGAGAGTCGCGCTGTGGCCAGCAGACTCCTGGGAAAGTCATCCCCCACCCCCTGTCGTGATGCTGTTGCCACATGGCCTTCCTGCCTTCTGCCTCTCCCCAGGGGCTGCGGAGCTGCACCCAGGTGGCCGGCTGCCTGGTGTCCCTTTCCATGCTGTCCACACGCCTCACGCTGCTGCTGATGGTGGCCACACCAATGCTCATGGGAGTTGGCACCCTAATGGGCTCAGCTCTCCGGAAATTGTCTCGCCAGTGTCAGGAGCAGGTACTGGCATTGCTGCCCATCCTCCCCACCTGCCCCATTGCTCTCTGCCCTGCCATTACCCCATTACCATGCCATCCCCACCCCCACCCCCCAATTTCCAACCTCAGTGTCAACTTCCTGGACTCCTTGCAGGTTGCCAGGGCAACAGGCGTAGCAGATGAGGCACTGGGCAATGTTCGCACAGTGCGGGCTTTCGCCATGGAGCACCGAGAAGAGGAGTGAGTTCCACACGGGGAAGAACTTGAAGCAGGGAGGATCCCCAAATGCACCCCATCAGCCCTGTACCCCACCCTGGCTGCTTCCTGATGGCCGGGCTTGGCCTCTCTCCCCAGACGCTACGGAGCGGAGCTGGAGGAGTCCCGCTGTAAGGCAGAGGAGCTGGGCAGGGGCATTGCCTTGTTCCAAGGGCTCTCCAACATTGCCTTCAACTGTGAGTGAGCGAGTCCCCACCAGGGGTGTGGGAGCACTGGGTCATGGTTGGGGATGAGCATGGATCAGCCAAGGAAGTCCCAGCGAGGCAGGCAAGGGGCAGGTCTCCACGGGCTTGATGTCCCTTAGATGTCTGTCCAGTGCCAGCTGCCTGAGTGCCTCCCCCCGACACACATGCATGCATTCATTCCCAAATGAAGAAACAAAAGCGGACACTACTGAAATGACTTGTTGTCATTCCAGTCGGAGGCACAGCAGGGACTGGAACTGGGGACTCACCTGGGCTGTGTCCCCTGATCCTAGCTGCTTCCTTGCTAACCACCTGGCCCTTTCTGCCTATAGGCATGGTCTTGGGCACCCTGTTCGTTGGGGGCTCCCTCGTGGCTGGACAGCAGCTGAGAGGGGGAGACCTCATGTCCTTCCTGGTGGCCTCCCAGACGGTGCAGAGGTGAGTGTGAGGCTGTTCCTGTCTCGAAAGAGCCCTGCCCCTGGCCCACCCAGTTTCCTCAGGGAAGCACGGGGTGCCTTCCGTGGGTGCCCTCCAACCTGATGCTCTGACTGGGTGCCCAGGGATGCAGCTGTCATCTCCCGCCACCTAAACAGCTCAGAAGGGTCTGTGACAGCTTTTTAAAAAGTTGGTAATTGTGGTAAAATACACATAACATAAAATGTACCATTTTGACTGATTTTCAGCATACACTGTAGTAGCGTTTTGCATGCGTCATGCAGTTGTGTGGCCACTGCCCCCATTCACCACCAGCATGCCTTCATCCTGCAAAACTGAAGCACTGTGCCCATTAACCACTAAGGCCCATGGCCCCTCCCCACCCGACAGCATCTGGCTCTGTGCTTCACCCACTGCGGGTCCCTCATACGTGTGAGATCACACAGCGTTTGTCCTTCAGTGATGGGCCTTTTTTGCTCAGGGTGACATCTCCCAGGTTCATCCATGGCATAGCCCGTCAGGATTTCCTTCCTTGTTAGGGCTGAGAGGATTCCATTTGTGGGTTGACCATCTTTGACTTGCTCTTTACGAGCTTGCCTGCCATCGTCTGCCTGAGCGTCCCAAGGATGAAAAGGTCACCCTCTCTCCCTCTTCCCACCCTCAAGGCTCAGTGTGCTCATTGCTCTGAGACCCACCCGCTCCACTGGGCCTGTCTGCCCAGAGCTCTTGCCTCCCTTTGCATGAGACCCTCAAGGCCTCCCCTTTCCTTTCTCTTCTAAGCTAAACACTACCAGTTCCTGCGTCAAGCGTAAATAGGTACTGTGATAAATAATTGAAGAGAGAATAGACTATCATAGATTACTGAAGAGTGGAGACCGGTATTACTGTTAACCACGTCAAGGAAGTGCAGGGTCACCCCAGACACCCCTCCATGCCCCTTCCCCATGGCTTCTGATTCTCATGGCACTCGTGGCCTGGCTCTGCAGTGTGTTTTACCGCCTGTTTCCTACAGCATCCCTCACCATCACCCTCATTATTGTCCCAGGAAGAGTGGAGCCAACCCGAAGAGAGGCTGGCAGAAAAGACGCCCATCCTCAGCCCTGTTTATGTCCAGTGCTCCCTAATCTGGGCCCGTACAGACCTCTGAGTTCAGACTCTAGGTGGCCTCATCCCTCCTCCAGCCTGAAAACTGTTCCTTGGTGGCCTGGGTACCAAGAGGCTCTTTATTTTAGAGACAGGACTTGGCACTGACCCCAGGCCAAGCCCTGGCCTCTTGCTCTGGTCCTGAGGACCCTGATGAGCCCTGTGGTTCTTCTCATACAGTCACCACATGGCCCTCCATGGGCTGTGGTAGGAAAGTCTCCCTTTCCCTACACCTCCCAAGCCTGGCTCGCCTTCTCCTGAGCCCCCACTTCCCCATATGGCGTAAGTTCAGAACCTCTCCTCCCCACTGCACTGCCTTGCCTGAGCAGAGCTTTATTTCAAACCAAAAGGCCTAGGATGCCCATCCATACTATTCTCTCTCAGGCTGCTAGATGGAGCTGCTCCCACAGCCACAGGCCTTAGGCCCATCCTTTTGAGGGCCCCTTACTACATGGAGATCCTTCACCACCCACTTCAGAGGAATTAGGGCTGTTTTATTCAGGAGGCTGATGGATTTCCTCCTGGGGTCCAATGGGGGCAGGGAAGGAAGAGAGGCAGCCTCTACCTCTAGACCCCATTCTACATGTTGTTTTGTGGCACTGGGTCTGTGGAGGAGACCGGGAGGCACCCAGAGGGACCCCAGTCATGGGGTCTGCATGCAGGGCTGGGCCCCACTGGGAATGGGCTGCCCCTCTGCCCCCCACCAGGCCTCTTGGGAGAGCAAGGCCTGCCTTCTGAGCCAGCTCTGAGAGCAAGGGCACCACAGACATCACAACGAGTTATGGGCATCTGTTTTTAGGTTGCTGCCAGGCACCAGTGCCAGGCCCTAATGGCTTCCAGATCTTTTGTGGAGAATGTGCTTCCTTCTTGTCCACAGATAGCTCGCTGTCCCGGCTCTTCCTTGCTCCATGCCTCTGCACTCACTTTGGCAAAGGCCAGTAGCTCTCTGACCTGCCAGAACCACTTCCGTGCAGGCTCCTCCCTGCCTTGTCCCCCCTGGTGCTGGAAGAAGTGACTTTCCTCTTCAAGAGTCAGTCTTTCAAAAAAAAAAAAAAGAGTCAGTCTTTCCCCTTCTAGGAAGACCTGTGCGCACATTCTCAGACACATGGCCCAGTCAGGGACTGGTGACTGAGACGCGTGACTCACCTTCCAGCCGCCGACAGCCCTCCCCTCTGGCGCCACTCTTCTCTTGGGCTCTGGGCCCCACTCTTCAGCCTTTCTCTCCTCCTCACAGGTCCATGGCCAACCTCTCCATCCTGTTTGGCCAAGTGAGTGGCAATCGGGGGGTGCGCCCTGGGGTGTGGACATCAGATCTGGGCTGGCAGTGTGTCAGGAGCATCAGCTGTGTGCTGCAGGAAGCAGGTGTCAGGGTGGAGGGGACACTGTGAGCCCCGCCTCTCCCTCACCACAGACTTTAACCCTCTCCCCAGGTGGTACGGGGGCTCAGCGCTGGGGCCCGGGTCTTCGAGTACATGACTCTGAGCCCGTGTATCCCTCTCTCTGGGGGCTGCCGCATCCCCAGAGAGCACCTGCACGGGGCCATCACGTTCCGCAACGTCTGCTTCAGGTCAGCATTGGCAGATGGGTGCGGGAGTCGTTCCCTTTGGGCTCAGAAGTTTGGGTCAAGGTCTCCTTCCAAATAAGCTCCCCTCAGGGTACAGTTAGACTCGAGGGCCCAGGGCAGAAAGGGGCCAGGAACCTGATCTGACCAAGGGTCTCTCTTGGCTCCTCCCAGTTACCCCTGCCGCCCTGGCTTCCAGGTGCTCAAGGACTTCTCCCTCACCCTGCCCCCTGGCAAGATCGTGGCCCTTGTGGGCCAGTCCGGTGGAGGTGAGAGGAACCCACCACCCTCCCACCCTATGGCTTTCCTTCCTATGGTGGCTGCTCAGCGTGGGGTGGGGCACAATGTCTAGAAACCATGCTATCTTCCCCAACCTCGCCACATCCCCAACCCCCATTCCCCAGGAAAGACCACTGTGGCTTCCCTGCTTGAGCGCTTCTATGACCCCACGGCGGGTATGGTGACACTGGATGGACGGGACCTGCGTACCCTCGATCCGTCCTGGCTCCGGGGCCAGGTCATCGGCTTCATCAGCCAGGTGGGGAGAGGAGAGGCTTACCTCTCTGCACAGGCTTACTAGCACATGTGACTTAACTTCCCAGACCCCCTCCCCTCCCTCTGACTTTTCTCTCAGCCCTTACACACATGGGACCTTCCCCCCCTTCCCACCCCCATCACCCCTGTTCTCTCTGGTAGAGCATCAGTGGGAGGGCTCTGGCCATCTTCACTGGCCGCCCCCAGTGGTCATGGGATCTGAGGCATCCCCATAACTGCCCACTGCAGCTCTGCCCTCGTGTCCAGGGCAGGAACTCATCTAAAGCCTCCAAGCAGGTAGGGTGGGGTGCTGTTTTAGGATCCTTGAGTTCTCCAACAAACCTATGGTGTCCAGAAAGTGTAGAGACCCCTGCCCCCCACTAAGCATGGTCCCACAGCCCCACCCTGGGGCCCTCAGCCTTGCTCCTTTCCTTCTGTTTGAAGTGGTGCCGCCCAACGAGAGGTTGCTTTCCCCCTCTGAGTGGGTTAGGAGGGCACCCTTACCCACCTACCCCTGCAGGAGAAACCCAGAATGCAAAACCCCCTTACTCCCATCTCTCCAGAGAGGAGGGCCCGGCTCTCCCAGCTACCTCCCCATCCCACTCCTCAGGAACCCTGTGCCCTGCAGGGAGCATGGCCTCTCCCCACTTTGATAGATCTCTGTTCTTCATCGATTTGTAATTTTCAACCTCCCCTGCTTGCCCTCCAAGAAGGTGGTTCTGGTGTGGCCAAAATCGCCTTTCCTGATGCACCCCTTCTGGGGTTTGGGGCAAAGTCAGAATGTTCCATGCGGAGTCCCCACCCACAGGAGCCAGTCCTGTTTGGAACAACAATCATGGAGAACATCCGCTTTGGGAAGATGGGTGCCTCGGATGAAGAGGTTTATGCAGCTGCCCGGGAAGCCAATGCCCACGAGTTCATCACCAGCTTCCCAGAGGGCTACAACACCGTAGTCGGTGAGTCCCAGGGACAGCGTCCTGCTCAGGTCTGCAGGGCCCAGGTTGTGAGGAGTCCGGGAGGCAAGAGCAGAGGCATGGCATCAGGGAAGACTATACCTGTGGCCTGGGCGGGCAGACCTGGTTCTGTGGTTTAGTCCCACACAGGCTGCAGAGACAGGGATACTACAGGGAGTGCAGGCCCAGGACCCCCCGTCCTCAGACCCGACCAGAAGCACGAGGATATTACCTCCTTGTAATACCTTATGCTTCTGGTTCCTGTGTCGTACCTGTGCTTTTATCACTTAATTTGAAAATATTTCCATCGTGTTACCCACAGGGATTGACGTGGCTGGATGGGTCTCCCTTCTGACTTACCCAGAACAGGGCTCAAGTAGTTCTGGAACATTAAAATATCACAGCCTCACACTAGAATATTCGTATCATAGCTTGCAGATTTGTGCACTCAGCTCAGGGGTCTTTTTTTCAACCTTTGGGACCGTGTTTTTTTATCTGGAGTCTTGGCTCTGTTGTGGAATATTCCAGCACATCTCAAGGTGTGGGCATATCTGGGGTTTTCAACTCTTCTTGAAACTTAGGCCTCAGTCTAGCTGAGATTCAGCCTGCTGAGTGGCACCCCCCCGCACCCCGTCTTCAGCCATCATTCATGCTGTGTTGCTGATCCAGCCTATTCCACGCAGTGCTCCGATTCCACACTACCCCGAGGGGAGGAGCCGTCCCCACACCCCTGTAGAGCAGCGCTTCCCTCATACCTTTGACCCTAGCACACTCCCAGGCCCATCTGCAGCTTCAGTCTGCCCTCACTGGTCTCTGACCGCTGTCACCGTGGTGCCCTTCTTAAGCTCCCACACTGCCACCTCTGTTGTCTGTGGACACTGTAGACCAAGTGCGGTCTTCCCAGAATGCCCTGTGATAGGCCATCACCGCATTCTAGGGCCCACATCTGGGTCCTGGATGCCCCCCCCACCTCGCCAGCAGCAAGACCCAGCCAGCCAGGAAAAGGTCTCAAGAACTGCAGGGCCTGGTGTGGGAGGGGCACACAGTGACTCTGAGGGGACACTGAGACCCATGTGCACACAGTTCCTGTTGGGTGTGAGTGTGTTGGTGCATGGACCCAGGTTATGGGATCAGGATGTGTGTACAGTGCTAGGTGGGGCGCCTGAGGGGCCAGATGGGAAGTTCCAGGTGGCCCCCAGTGCCCCTCTCTGAAGAATGCTTCGAGCTCCTGCCTTGTCCCCTTCCTCCCAGGTGAGCGTGGCGCAACCCTGTCTGGTGGCCAGAAGCAGCGCCTAGCCATCGCCCGCGCCCTCATCAAGCAGCCCACGGTGCTGATCCTGGATGAGGCGACCAGTGCGCTGGACTCAGAGTCAGAGCGGGTGGTGCAGGAGGCCCTGGATCGTGCCAGCACAGGCCGCACTGTGCTTGTCATCGCGCACCGGCTCAGCACCGTGCGTGGAGCCCACCACATTGTCGTCATGGCCCGCGGCCAAGTCTGTGAGGTCAGCTGGGGGCTGGGCAGCAGCTCAGTGGGCTGGGCAGCTTCAGCCCTGGACACAGTGGAAAGCGTGGCTCAGCTGAGCCGTGGGAGGGTCTGGCCTAGCCCAGGGTCCCTGGGCCATATCCTGGAAGCAGTACCCTGTGTGGATTCAGGAGTTCCTGCCCTGGCCTCTCGAGGCCCGTTTCCTTCTCCATCCCATGGGGGTAGCAGAGCTGCATTAGGGCTCCCAGGACCAAGGAGAAAGGACTCAGAATTGTAGAAGGCTGAGCAGAGGGGCCTAGGGGCTGAGGTACAGAAAAGGCAACTGCTCAGGGGCCAGTGTGCAGCAAGGCTGGGGGGCTGCATGGAGCCCAACTCCTGGCTCTGGCTGCTGCTTCAAGTAGCTTTGAACCCAAGTCTTTGGGTTCTGCAAGGGAGATAGAAGAATTCAGATGCTCTTCCAAAACCCAGCTAAGCAGAAAGGTGGTACTGACAAATACAAACATGCCAGTGGCAATGTGTAACCAATTGTGCTTTGGGTTCATAGTGTCCCCGGAAGGGGCACTGGCTTAGGAGACAGGGAGCCCAGTGGCAGATAAGAAGCCAGCCCACCTAGAGCTCTGAGCTGGGTTGGAGTGACTACCTGCCCCTCCTTCCTCTCCATAGGTGGGGACCCATGAAGAGCTCCTGAAGAAGGGCGGGCTCTATGCAGAGCTCATCCGGAGACAGGCCCTGGATACCCCAGCTCCTGAGATGCCCAGAGGCCCCAGGAACCGCCCCCCCAAGTCCTGAGAGAGCTGTTGGAGCTCTGGTCATGGCCGAGCATCAGTGTCCAAGGCCGAGGCTCAGCTCAGGGGAGCTTCCAGGGACCAAAGCACCCAGGATGACCAGTGTGCTGGGGTGCAGGCTACTGCTGCTCCCTTGCTCACAGTGAGACCTAGGCCTAGTGCTGAGCTCAGGGAGGTTGGGACTGCTCCCATCCACTCCCCCCTCCTACTACCAGGCTGCCTCCCTCCTGCCAGAGTCATGAATCATGGGGCTGCACAGCAAAGGAGGCTGAGTCCCCAGACCCCTGCTCTGTTCCCCCCAACCCCTCTCAGAAGCCCTGCCAAGTCTGCCCTCTGCCTGACAGCCTGAAGGTGTGCAGACCCAGCTCCAGGGCATCTCTACAAATCAGGATCAGGGAGTGGGAACGGGAGTTTACATAGGGTCCCCACACCCACGCCAGGACCTCACCTTCTGGACCCTGACCCCCCACTCTCCTCTGTCCCCACTGTCCCTGAGCCAGGGGAGAAGGAGCCCAGCCCATGGACCAGCCCCTCGAGCCACAGTCTCCATCCTGAGAACACCTTCCCTTCCTTCTCCCTGCTTCATTAATACAGGCACTTTTCTAGATTTTGTCCCCACCCACCCCCTGCCCCCAGTCAACAGAACAAGGGGTTTGGGACATCTGCCCCTGGCCCTTGGGAAAGGGGTCAGAGGGGCAGGGCATGCCATGGTCTATTCCACAAGGAGCTTCAAGCTTACCAGGCTGTCTTAACCACTGCGCCGGGCTCATAGCTGGACTCTGTGACCCCGTGAGATTGTAGACTGCCCCTCTTCATGAGGATACCTCGCTCTAAAGGAGATAAAGGAGGAGCTGACACACACTCCAAACTCCAGCCACAGGGGACCTATGGTGCTAAGTCACCAGACTGCTAGGGAGAAGTTAATACTTAGCTCCCAAGCTGACAAAATATAAAATCAGTTGGATTTATCCTGTGGGTTTATCCAAGGATAACACCATGCTTCTGGGGCAGCTACGATGTGTAGGACAAGAAGAGTCGGCTGTGGCCAGAGGCCAGCCGGGAAGAATAGAGTGGCTCAGGTGTGAGGAGCCAGGGCTGAGAGTCCCTGTGGCCTCTCGTGGGTGTGATCTAGGACCACATGCTACTTTGAGGACAAAGCACCTGAAATGTCCCAGAGCCACAGCCCCCCTGGTGTGATACCCTGCTTCCATACTGATCAGAGGTTGCATGCCAGGGTAGCCATAGCCCAGGAAGCAGAGCCACTCCCTAGTAAGTCCAGCCCAGAGCCAGCCTCAGGTCCCCAGCCAAGCTGGCACTGACCTCCAAGGGAGAGGCAGTGGAGGCGAGCTCCTGCCCTGCCCCCCCAGCTCCAGCCCCAGCGACCCAGACTTCAAAATCAGGGCCTCCAAATCCTGCCCCCCGCCCCAACTAGGAAAGCAGTGCAGTCTGTGGGAGCCCTGAGTGGAAAGGCCGTGTGGTCAGCCTCACAATCACCATGGAGCCTTGGCCTCCACCTCGCCTCCCACCACTATTCACCATGGGTCATAAGATTGGCAATACTTCATCCTGAGAACTTAAAGAGTTTAAATGGGACCATCTGCAGGGCATCTGGGTGGCACAGTCAGTTGAGCATCTGACTCTTGGTTTCGGCTCAGGTCGTGATCTCAGGGTTCTGGAATCAAGCCTCGTATCGGGCTCCACACTCTGCAGAGTCCGCTTGAGATCCTGTCTCTCTGCCCCTCCCACTTGTGCCCATGTGTAGCGCATGCTCTCAAATCTTTAAACAATAATAGGGGATCCCTGGGTGGCTCAGCAGTTTGGCTCCTGCCTTTGGCCCAGGGCATAATCCTGGAGTCCTAGGATCGAGTTCCACATTTGGGCTCTCTGCATGGAGACTACTTCTCCCTCTGCCTGTGTCTCTCCCTCTCATGAATAAATAATTTTTTAAAAGTCTTTGGTTTTAAATAAATAAAAATAATAAATGGGATAATCTGTGACAAAGTACTTACAACTCAATGCTGCAGCCTCAGAAGCTGGTCACATCTGCACAATAAACTTATTTACTTCCTCTTTCCAAGGTGATATGTTCATTAAGCACCTGTTGTGTGCCACCGTGCCTGCCCTGCGACCGGGAGGACTATGTCCCTGACCTCTTGAAGCTGCGGTCTTGTCTGGAGGACAGAGAGGCAGGCAGGCAGGTGATGGCAGCACACTTTGTGGGAAGAGGCAGAGTAGAAAGTAGTTTCAGTAAATAAATTAATGGAGATAAACGTGTATTCTCTCAGGCCAACAGTGCAGCATCTCCCCATTCGCAGACACACGGGGACAGGTAAACATTTAACCAAATGCAGGGCTGGACACTGACAAGGACCAGGCCCTGGCCATATTCCACGTGGGGTGTCTGGGCTGCCCCAGCCACTCTCCGCACCCCTGGCTATCCCACCACAGCCCTTTGTCCCTGTGCCATGGATCAGCAGGACACCCAGGCCCACTGCAGGCCAGCTGGTACTAACCTTACAGACTGGGCTCTACTTTTGAGAGGCATCTGCTCCAGATGCCAGGAGTCCTCCCCTCGCCCGACCCATTATCTCCTCTGGATCAACTGCAGTGCCTTCAGATGCCCCGGATCTGCCCTTTCAAGGCCAGCATCACTGTGCCACGCCAGTCCCAGGGCACCTGAGCTGGGTCAGGGGCACTGTATCTCTCCCGTTAGAAAAGCCCCCCACCCCTGTGGGGGCACCTGGCTGGCTTCCTGGGTAGACCATGTAACTCTTGATCTCAGGGTCATGAGTTCAAGTCTCATGTTGGGCATGGAGCCTACTTTTAAAAAAAGGAAAGAGAAAGAAAAGCCCTCCCCTGCAAAACAGATATGCTGCCTGCTGTGTTACTGACAGGAGTATAAAACTCCCACAGTGGGGAATTTTGTGATATCCACCAAATTGCCTGTATGGTTGCTTCTTGACCCAGTAGTTCTATTTCTGGGAATCTACATTTGTGCAATGCTATTGAAAGCACCATTGTTTGCAATGGAAGACTGGAAAGCCCCAGTGTTCATCCATAGGGGTGTAATTAGATGAACGTCGGTACATCGACATAATGGAATCGAATACAGGCCTTTAAAAAATGGGCAAGTTTCCTAGGTCCTAGATGTTGCATGGTATGCAGAATATGTTTTTTTTATTTTTTTTAAGTTTTATTTATTTTATTTATTTTAGACATAGAGAGAGAGAGAGAGAGAGAGGCAGAGACACGGAGGAGAGAGAAGCAGGCTCCATGCAGGGAGTCTGACGTGGGACTCCAGGATTGCTCCCTGGGCCAAAGGGAGGCACTAAGCCGCTGAGCCACCCAGGGATCCCCCAGAATATGTTTCTAAGTGAAAAAAAGATGTGAAATTACAGGGCATCCATGTTCCCTAGGAGGGTGGCAGGTGGGCATCTGGGTCATGCCCAGGAGGGTGGCCGGGGATCCCCCAACCCCGGTAGCTGAGGCCAGCCTCTTAGACAGCCTCGGGGGGGGGGGGAGGTGGGAGAGGCTCACTGGAGACAGACCACCCGCAGGCATAGGACGTGCAGAAGCCCTAGTCATCCAGCGTGGCCTTCAGGGGCTCGAAAAGAGGAGTCTGCCGACACCCAACTTCCCATGGCTTTCCAGCTTGGGCAAGAGCCAGCGCCTCTCTAAAGGAACAGATCATCTGGGGTGAGTGAGGTCAGTGGGAAGGGACAAGACACAAAAGGAGGGAAAGACTAGGCCGAGGGTCAGCAACCAACCCTCAACCCAACCACAAGGGCTGCAGCTGGGAACCCTGAGGGCCATTAGGGTGCCCCCAGCCCCAACTTCTCTCCAGGCTCTCTTTAAGCCTTACCCAGGATTGCTGTGGTTTCCTGCTGGCGCCTCTGGTCTCCACAGCCGCAGCCCCCCCTCAATGCACCGCACTAATGGCTTGGCCTGGGGCCCCAGGGACCTTCCCTGCCCCCCAGACTGCTCTGCGGGGGCCCCCGGCCCCCTTGCTGCTGTAACCCAATCCTCTGCGGCAGCTCCGGCTCGGCAGAGCAGCTTCCAGCAGAGCGGGCCCTGCTTCCCACGTTAGCTGCGCCCTACCGGGGCTCTCCTGCCGAGCACCCCCCAGGGCCAGTGGCCAGCGCTGAGCCTAGCAGAGCACCAGCTCCTTTGCTCCCGGAGACCGTCGCACCCACCCTGCTGCTCCAGTGCCTCTCCCTCTTGGTCTGGGCCCCTCTCCTCCCTCCCCCTCTCCCCTTCCCTCACCCGCAGTGACCCCCACCTGCCGCCCGAACCCCCTCAGCCCCTCAGGTCCTCAGACCCACCCTCTGTCCTTCTTCCAGCCCTGAGCCGCAGGCCTCAGCCATGAAGCCCCATCCTAGGCCAGAGGAGGCCCGGAGGCCAGCCTCGGACATCCGTGTGTTCGCCAGCAGCTGCACGTTGCACGGGCTGGGCCACATCTTTGGCCCTGGGGGCTTGACGCCTCGCCGAGGGTTGTGGGCTGCAGCCGTGCTCCTGTCACTAGCCACCTTCCTCTACCAGGTGGCCGAGCGGGTGCGCTACTACGGGGAGTTCCACCACGAGACGGCCCTGGACGAGCACGAAAGCCACCTGCTCACCTTCCCTGCCATCACCCTGTGCAACATCAACCCGCTGCGCCGCTCCCGCCTCACACCCAACGACCTGCACTGGGCCGGACCTGCGCTCCTGGGCGTGGAGCCTGCCGAGCACTCCGCCTTCCTGCGTGCCCTGGGCCGGTCCCCTGCGCCGCCCGGCTTCATGCCCAGTCCCACCTTTGACATGGCGCGACTGTACGCCAGGGCCGGGCACAGCCTGGAGGACATGCTGCTGGACTGTCGCTACCGAGGCTGGCCGTGCGGGCCCGAGAACTTCACCGTGGTGAGCTGGTAACTGGCCCCGGGCCACCGGGGACCTGCCATCCCCCCGTCATGCAGGCCCAGGATCCTTTCCTTCCCAGTCAGGCCACGGGCTCCCCCCATGAGACTGTCCTCCTTGGGGTCCCCTCCCTGTCGCTCAGCAGGACTACAGTGTGCAAGGTCACAGCTTCCAGCACAGGGCACTGACCCAGGCTGGCTCTGGGCCCAAGCTCTGGTCTGTGGAGACCCTGCTCCTGAGGGCCAGGAGGAATCTAGTGGGACTGCTCAGGGCACTAGAGCCCTCTCTCTGCCTGGGCCGTCGGCTTGTTTTCCTTCTACCTCTTCAACAGTCTGCGAGCAGGCAACTGAGACCCACTTCCTTTCTTGCCATTCTCCAAAGAAACACTTGTCCTATAGGCAGTGCCCTGGGCTGGGGGGCTGGGGGATCCAGGAGGGGAAGGAGCTGCTGGAGTGATGGGAGCCCGTGAGGGTCCAACTCTATGTGCTTGTATGACTGAGGGCATTGAGATATGGCTTCCCGTTCAAAGAGACCAAATAGAGGGTGGGGAGAGGAGAGGTCTCATCATTCTCATGTCTTCCTGGGGAAGAGGCTGGTGGGGCTCCTGTACCCTGGTGAGGCCTGTCCCCTGTCTGTTCACTTGTAGATCTTCACCCGGATGGGTCAGTGCTACACCTTTAACTCTGGCGCAGATGGGGCCGAGCTTCTCACTACTCCCAAGGGCGGCATGGGCAATGGGCTGGAGATCATGCTGGATGTGCAGCAGGATGAGTATCTGCCTGTGTGGAGGGACATGGGTATGGGGGATCGCGGGTCAGGCTGGAGGGATGGCACAGATGAGCTACAAAAGGCATGAGGGGGATCCCTGGGTGGCTCAGTGGTTTAGCCCCTGCCTTTGGCTCAGGGTATGATCCCAGAGTCCCGGGATTGAGTCCTACATCGGGCTCCCTGCGTGGAGCCTGCTTCTCCCTCTGCCTGTGTCTCTGTCTCTCTTTCTCTCTGTGTCTCTCATGAATAAATAAAATCTTAAAAAAAAAAAAAAACAACAAAACCCAAAGGCATGAGGGAGGGCCCAGGAAAGCACATCCTTTCCTGTGGTTGGTCACAGTCTTGGCGAGAGAGGTCAGTGACAGGGGGTGTCCTGGGATGCTGGCCTCAGGGTCCCCTTTCCCCTGCAGAGGAGACCCCGTTCGAGGTGGGGGTCCGAGTGCAGATCCACAGTCAGGAGGAGCCGCCCACCATCGACCAGCTGGGCTTCGGGGCAGCCCCTGGCTACCAGACCTTCGTGTCCTGCCAGCAGCAGCGAGTATCCCCATCCCCACCCCACCAAGGCTCCCAATCCCCTCCTTCGGCCCACAACACCTCAGACTGTCCCAGGGGCCTCCACCCCTCCGCATGCTACCCCAGTGACAGCTCACATTGGACCTGGGTGCCATATTCATGCCAGAAGCCTCCTTAACCCCAACTACAGCTGAGCTTCCTGCCACCGCCTTGGGGCGACTGCAGCTCCGCTTCTGTGGACCCCGATTTTGAGCCCGAACCTTCTGGTCCCCTGGGGGCCCCCAGCCCCAGCCCAGGTCCCCACCCGCCCTATAGTCTAATGGGGTGTCGCTTGGCCTGTGAGACGCGCTATGTGGCTCGGAAATGTGGCTGCCGAATGATGCATATGCCTGGTAAGGGGCAGGTATGGGCGGAGGAGGGGGTCCGGGTCGCGCAGAGGGGCCTGGGGGCCGTCCCTGAAGCGGTCTCCTCCCCACCCCCACTCCCCACCCCCAGGCGGCGCGCCCGTGTGCAGCCCGCAGCAGTACAAGGACTGCGCCAACCCGGCGCTCGGTAAGGGGCAAACCTGTCCCGCATCCCCGCCCCTGCTGCGCCCCGGACCCCACGGGGACCCCGCCGGGCGGGTGGCCCTGATCCAGGGGACTGTGGCCCGCAGACGCCATGCTGCGGAAGGACGCGTGCACCTGCCCCAACCCGTGCGCCAGCACGCGCTACGCCAAGGAGCTCTCCATGGTGCGGATCCCGAGCCGCGCCGCCGCCCGCTACCTGGCCCGGAAACACAACCGCAGCGAGGCCTACATCGCGTGAGCCGGGCTGGCTGGGGCGGGGCGGGGCGGGGCGGGGCGGGCACCTTCCGGCGGGCGGGCCCTCGTGCGCACACCCGCGTGGGACACCGGTCTGCACAAAACCGCGGGGCTCCCGGGCCTCTGGGCAAGCCCGACACCGTCTCCTCTGCAAACGGGGGCTCGTCCCAGGGCTCTTCAAAGGAGTCACAGACGGGAGAGTTCGCACACCTGTTTCCTGCCAGCAGCTGGCACCGGGCGGGGATCCAGCGATCTTTCCTGGTCCTCTTTTCCTCCAGAGAGAACGTGCTGGTGCTGGACATCTTCTTTGAGGCCCTCAACTATGAGACCGTGGAGCAGAAAAAGGCCTATGAAGTGTCAGAACTGCTTGGTGTGTGGGCGTGTGCATGTGTGTGTTTGTGTGCCCCCACACAGGGTGCCCGGGCGGGCTGGGGAGGTGTGGGCAGGGCAGGTGGCTGTGTGGGTGCCTGATGGGTAAGGTGTGGGCGGGGCAGGTGTGCTGATGGGTAACCTGATGGGCTCCACAGGTGACATTGGGGGCCAGATGGGGCTGTTCATCGGGGCCAGCCTGCTCACCATCCTCGAGATCCTGGACTACCTCTGTGAGGTGGGCCTGAGCCCCAGCTGGGGGAGGGGAAAGGAATCAGGCCACAGGGTCTGGAGGAAGGTGTGCACTGGCCACTTCCCCCACTGCTCGCCCCCAGGTGTTCCGAGACAGGGTCCTGGGATACTTCCAGAACCGAAAGCACTCCCAAAGGCATTCTAGCACCAATCTGGTAACAACCCCTTTTTCCTTCTTTGCCCTCTCCAACACCGGTGCTTAGCCTTCCCCCTGAAGCCTAGAACACCATCCCTACCCAGCAGAGGAAAGAATGGTGGGGGAGAAAAGTGTATGACCTTGACTGGTCCTGGGAGGACTCCTCCCATCTCTGACCCTTTCCCTCCTCCCACAGCTTCAGGAAGGGCTGGGCAGCCACCGAACCCCAGGTCCCCACCTCAGCCTGGGCCCCAGGTAACAGGAAGGAGGGGCAGGTTCAGTCTGGAGGGGGTAACGTTCAGGTTCAAATGGGCAGGGCAATGAGTACGAGGCCTCCTGTCCCAGCGCTGTTGTCTGCATCCCACCAGGCCTTCCACTCCTCCCTGTGCTGTTGCCAAGACTCTGTCTGCCTCCCACCGCACCTGCTACCTCGTCACCCGGCTCTAGACCTGGCGTCTGTGCCTTCAGGGCTGTACCCTGACATCCTGGACATGCCCCGCCTGCTTATGTCTCTGCCATCTTCACCCCAAATAAAGTTCTAGCACATCAGCCTTGGCTGTTTCTCTTACAGGCAGACTAGTCAGGCCAAGGTCAGCCCTATTCAGGCACAAGAAGACCTCTGCCAGCCAGCAGCCAGTGTCTGAAGTGTAGGTGGGTCCCAGTCAACCACCACAAATCTCTCTGGGAGAAAACAGTAGTAAGAGGGCATCTGTCATTTGCACTTCAGTGTGAAGGAGCTTATCAGAATGACATCTCAGAGAGAATGGAGCCCAAAACCAGGTGTCAAGGTAAAGAGGAGTCAGTGGGAGGGCAGTTATGTTTGGGGTACTGCAAAGCAACAGTTGGAAGAAGGCTCTGACCCAGAGCCTGGCAAGAAGTGGGGGAACAGGCAGGGAAAAGACAGGGGGAACTACCCACTTCTAAGAACACAAGCCACTGTCCTGCCCTGGAAGATCATTACTCTTTTCTCACATTTGAGACCAAGTGCCAGAACACCCACTGGTCTCCATGGGAATGACTCAGTTTCCCCAACCTTCCCAAAAAGCAGAAAGCCCCAGGTTGAGAGGGTGGAGGAAGGCCCTCCCTTCCCCCTCCTGCCAATGGGAATACAGCCAGGCCCCAACTACAGCACACCGTCCCTGCTCTTTCTCTGTACACCAAAGATCGAGAAACTGGGAGCAGGGGAAGGGGTGTTCCTAATCTAACCACATATTTGGATCTCTCCTTTCCCAGCCTACAGGCCTAGGGATGGCAGTGCTAATGAAAGAGGGGTTGAGGATGTACATGTGGGATATGGAAAAGGCCATAAAAGGCCCAGCCCTTTTTTCCCCCATTCTGAGTGGAAGCCCATGCTCACTCTCATGCTGGCTGCCTAACCCCTCAGGGCTGGCGCTCCCGGGCAGAGGAGGAAAGCATAAGCACATGTGTGGGGATGGTGCTGCCCCTGAGCCCAGCCATCAGGGGTGAGGGGGTGAGGGGCAGAGGCTCCAGCACCCAGTCTCAGGCCACTTAGCGAAGTGCAGCGAGGACCGGATGGCTAGGCCAGGTTGGAGCTGGAGGGAAGGCTGTAGAGGGTGGCAAAGCAGAGGAGAGACCCCCACCGAAGCCCACCCCCTCTCAGAACCACTCTACCACCACATCAGCCAGACTGTGGGAAAGGAGCCAATTTATGAAATTAAATAAAGTCCATGGAGGGAGTGAAGAACACAGGCCGGGCACCTCTACCCCGGCTAGGCCCAGCACAGCTGGAGCTCAGCACACCGTGCATCCCCTGCTTTTTCTCCCCTCCCGGGAGGGGGCTTAAATAGGCCAGGCCCCAGCCTGGCCAAGGTCCTGGAGCCTACGGAGGGCAGAAGTCAGAGAAGTAGGGGTGCTGCAGGGCCTCTTCTGCCGAGATGCGCTGGACGGGGTTACACTTCAGGAGGTTCTGAAGGTACGGAAGAAAGGCATGGCAGGTTCAGGCTGCATGACCGGCCTAGGGCCCCACCCACCCCCAGCCACCCCTACCCCCATCCCCCAAGTGTTTGGGTCCCACCCCCTACCCCTGCCCTTGGTTACCTGCAGCAGGTCCCGTCCCGTGGCATTGAGCTTGGGTACGACATTCACCAGGGATGTTGTGGCCGGGTACATTGGGTAGGGCTGTGGGGGGGTACAGGGAGAGTCAGACCAGAGAACGGGGGCTTGGAGGTGCTAGAGCTGTGGAGTAAAAAGGACCCCTCCCCCATTCCCCATTGCACCTTATAGTCTGGCAGCTTGGTCATGGCAGGCCACTGTTCCTCGGTCGGTGTCCCCAGAAGCGTGTCCATGGGGTCAAGGATCACTCAGGTGGAAAGGGGTGGGTGAGGGGTTCTTCCCCTCCCGGGGGCTTCCTCATACCCACTCCCCCACCCCTCACTTTACCCTCATAGCTCATGACAGAGGCAGGGCCCAGCACATGAACAGGGTTCCCGGAGGGCCAGGCACTTCACAAATGTTCACTACTTGGATCTAAACCCTGTTGTCTTCTTCTGATGAATCAGTCAGCCCTCTCCTACTCCCACAATCATCCTCCCGCTGCTTTTGGCTCCTTTGTCCTAAAGATGCCCTTCCTAGCTGGAGGAACATGCTCGTGGCTTCTTCCCCCAGGGAGCCCTCCTTGTCTACAGGTCATACACTCTCCAACTGGTGGCTTCAATCAGCCCTGAAAACACAGGTGTGTCCACCACCCTCTGCCCTCCATCCCCTGGCCCAGAATCATGCCCTATTCTGGCCCACCCATTGCCATCCCCGCTCCCTGCACTTCATGGGCTCCTAACTCCCCTCCCTGTTTTTTTAAAGTAAACTCTACACAGCCCAACGTGGGGCTCAAACTCATGACCCTGGAGATCAAGAGTCACATGCTCTACCGACTGAGCCAGCCAGGTGCCCCTCCTTTCTCCCCTTCAGAGAGCTCGAAGTGAAGGGAAACATCGAAGGATATCGGAAGATCCTCTTCAATTGGTCATCTACGTCGTTGCCGGGGAAAAGAGGCCGCCCTGCGTTGGCCAGCTCTGCGAGATGGAGCAGGGTGTGAGGAGGGGACATGTGAAGAACCCCTCATTCCATGGCACCCTCTGTGCTTTTCGTCCTCCTCCCCAAGGGCCTTACTCCCTTCCCCAGAGGAGACACTTCAGATCCTACTGAGGGTCCACTCGAGTGGGAGAGAAAGTAAGTGCCTCTGTAGACCCCCAGCCAGTCACCTGCGAAGATGCAGCCAGCTGACCACATGTCGATGGATGTGGAGTACAGCTTGGCCCCGAAGAGGACATCTGGTGGGCGGTACCACAGCGTGACCACCTGGAGAAGAACCCACCCCCCGCGACCCCCACTTAGAGGACTGTGAAGGAGGGGAAAATCATGTTTGGGGTCCTGGAGGAGGAGATGAAAGATGCTCGGAGAGGACCCCCTCCCTCGGCCCCATGTCCTACACACACACCCACCAGCTCACCTCGGCTGAGTAACAGCGAACAGGGATCCCAAAGGCTCGAGCCAAGCCAAAATCAGCCAACTTCAGCTCCCCATTCTGAAGGGAGATAGGAAGAGACATGGAGAGGGCTTTTCAACAGTCTCAGGGCAGGCCCCCTGCCTCAGCCTCCCCACTCCCCCACCTTCTCCCTGGAAGGTACCCTGTTTATTAGCAGGTTCTGGGGCTTCAGGTCTCTATGCAGCACGTTGCGACTGTGACAGAATCCCAGGCCTTTCAGCAGCTGAAAGAGGAATGACTGTGGGGGGAGGGAGGTGTAGGGTAGGGCGTCAGACCTTATGGATGGGACGCTGTACCCAGGGGTGGGCCACACGCCCCTCTTCACCCTCTGCTTTGCCTCAAAACCCCACCTGTCCTTCAGCGACATCATTCATTCACTGTGGAGGACCGGCTTTGTACTGTGCTAGGTATTAATATAGGAACAGTGCATGAAAGCCTTGGTCCGACTCTTTCTGGAACTTACAGCCTGATCTGTCCCCTATCTGGCCTCATGTAAGCACATGCTTCGTAGCCATCAGTATCTATACTGTGTTATGTTATTAATCAGGACTGCTGCCCCTGGAACCTGGGACAAGGCACTTGGCCTTGGGCCTAAAACAGTGCCTGGCACATGGCAAAGCACCCAACAGGTATTTGTTGAACAAACGAGTGGATGAATCTCTTTGAATCTCATTTTCTCATCCCTCAAGTGCAGATTACATCACTGATACCGGAGTGTTACTGTCAGATCAAAGAGACCATGGGAATATGCTTGCAAGGAGGGAGGCCTGTGGAGGGCAGCAACAGGGTTTTCTCATTCCCTGAAGCTCCAGGGTGTCTCCACTCCGGGCCTGAACCTGGTGCTCAGAGGGTGCGCAGACTGCAGACAGACTCCCGTCCTGCCTCCCTGAGTCTCCGGGACACCAGCCCCTCACCTTCACAATTTCAGGATCCAGGTCACCATTACAGCTGTCAAAATACTTCTTAAGGTCCTAGAAAAGGGTGGGGTTGGGGGAGGGGCCAGAGTTTAACCTCAGTTGGGGCCCCTACACCCTCCCAAGGCCACACTGTCTCCCAAGTCCCCCTTTCACCTGGTCACAGAACTCAAAAACCAAAGTCAGCTTCTTGTCACTATGCAGGACGTCATGAAGCCTAGGGAGGAGGAAGGGCTCAGCCAGGCAGGTCTGCAAATTTCAGCTTCACGTCCCTATTATCAGCCCAACCCTGATCCCAGTATCAGCCCAGCCCTCTCTGAAGCCCCCCTCCTCCAACTGATCACACAGGCCAGGAGGACCCTGCCCATCTACACACCTGACGATGTTCTTGTGCTTCAGCTCTTTGAGTAGGCAGATTTCCCGAAGGGCTGAGCTCGGTACTCCCTACACATGGGAGGGGGCCGGGCGGGCAACAGTCACAACCCACCCAACCTGGGCCCTCAACCCCCACCCTGGCCCTGATGTCCCAGTCCTACCTCATCATCGTCATCCAGCCTCACCCGTTTCAGAGCCACGATCTCATGGGTCTCCCGGTTTTTGGCTTTGAATACTGTCCCGTAGGTGCCTAGAGGAAGAAGGTCAGGGGTGAGGGTAAAGATGGGACACCCTTCCCACCCCCATGAAGTCCCCCTGGGGAGTTCAGGCAGCGTGGGAGGGTGTTATTTGTGAAGCCTGGAGGAGTAGGGGGAGAGACTCAGGTGAAGGTTCAGCATGGAGGAGCTTTGTGAGTGAGGATGGGGCAGAGAAGGTGCCTGCAGATGGCTCACGGGTGTCTGCAGCAGGGAGAGGCTGCAGCTGCCAGGGTTAGGAGGTCTGTAATAAAGGCGGTGCTTCCGGAGGGTCTGGAAATAGCGAACAGGTCTGGGAGGAAAGTGAGGGGCGGCAGAAATGAGGCCGCATTGAGAACTAAGCTGGGGTTGGGGATTGGGGGGCCGGGGTGGGTGGGTGAGGATCTGCGGGTGGTGCTGAGGCTAGGGCTAGGAGACGCAGGAAGTGCTAATGTCCGCAGGTGGGTCTCCAGGAAGTGCTAAGGTTGGGAAGGGGCGACTGCGGGAAA